CAGTATTCGCCGTAACCATTTCTCTGCAGCAGGTAATTCTTGTTACCATATGCCTTCAAAGACGAATAACATTGATGACAGTTATTCCATCTGTATACATTGGTAAAGCAAAGACCAATCCTTTGTTTTCTGACGATAAAAATATACTTAAGATACCATTGACGTCGACGACGTTTAATAGAACCCTAGACAAGTTTGAAACAGAAGGGAATATATGTAGTGCAAGAGTTAACATTTAGCTAGCCCACGGCCCTTTGCATCACCAGCACATCGTGACGTGATGGGCCTTTACTTGAATAGGAATGCTTAAACACATCTGTAATTCCTTTAGAAAATATAATAAAAATATCGGCACCTACGTAATCTATAGGCATACCAAGTTTTCCACAGCTCGTGTGTATACTGCATAATCAAGTTTAAAAAATATAACTCAGTACTCACTGCAGTGAGTGACAGAGAGCGCATTTTCTCGTCGACGAAAATGTGAAGTCACGGACAGACAGACTGGCAGACGGACGGATGGACATGACGAGCACAATAGGGCATTTTTCCATAAATGAAAAAATGGGCTAAAAACATGAAGCTATGAGCCACTTTGTCTTCAAATGTTGATAAAATTAGGTTCGAAATACATTTGAATTTTTTCAGGAAAATAAGTACGTGAAAATGGATGTATATTAAGGTGGGTAACCATGCAATCACTCCACAGAAAAAGAATCCGTATTTTCCTGAACCTCATGTCAAGTCTGCCAAAATTTTGCTTCAACATCTGGCTAGTTGGTATAAGTTTTTAAGACAGATAACGGTGTAAGTTTCAATAATCGTTTAGGCAGAAAAAAAGACTTTCGTTTTATCGAATATCACATTTTCGTTTTCCTACTCAAATTAAATCTATATTTAACTTGTAAATGCAAATGGCAGACTTGGTTAGAAGAGTGACGAGTGGTCACGAAATAGCTTTTGAACTTTGAATACTTGTCAATTTACATTAAAGTTATTAACTAATTAGCTGGATATAGCATACATTCCTCAGATTTATTTTATGTTTAAAGTAGATTTCAACTCACTTTAAATTTTCCTCTAGAATAGAAGCTCCCCCCGCTTCCATGGACGGTCTTCGAACCTTCGTTCATCATTTTCGGACAGGCACGAAGTTTTTTCCTTTCACAGTAAAAAGGTCGCACCATCCACTCGCATCCAAGTGGGTAGAAATGAGACTTGAACTGTAATGAAAAATTGCGAGGTAGAATCCCGGCTCAGTCATTGAGATACGCTAATAGTGATCACGCCGCCCGTAGCATTAAGTCTTCGTTCGTTAGAGCATGAAAATTCCATGCCCTATTGATGAGAAATCGCATTATCTTCGGAAATTAATGGCATGTTATAGTAAAATAGGTTTATATTCATCATATATATAGATAGAAGTAACAAAATTTTAGATTGGAATGTATGATAAACTTGGTAGCGGAGACTTGTTAATTGTGATTCTCACACTCAGAAACGCTAGTCATGCGACACCAATACGAAATATCAAATTTTCGAGGTAGGGCAATGAAAATTGGCAGCGGTCGCCTTCAGCAGATAGTGTTTCATAAAAGGTCGAAATTAAGGACAACGGTCGATTGTTGACCACGGAACTTACTCAATGTATCTGTTAACTATCGTTACCAATTAATTAAGGCCTTTCTAGCTCTAAATTTTCTTGAAACATTGAAAATAATTTCAATCATTTTCCCTTTTTCAGATTAGACTTGTCGATATGATGTAAGGGAATGGTGTAAATTTATTCATATTAGTAATAATGCATAGTAATAATTTTTCGTTTTTCATTTAGAGCTTTTCATACTTTAGGTTATGCAAGCATCCAGGATTCATTCAATCATGTTCTAGTTACGCACTGGTAAGGACTACAGGGGCACAACGATTTGTACAGACATGTTTACTGAATATAGTGTGAACTCAGTGTTTTATGACTTTTATCTCAACAGAAACCTTTTCACGGCCGTATCGAGATACATTCATAAAGAGTTAGTTAGGTCTTTTCCCTTGTGTCGAATGTAAAATATCGAGATTAGCAATTTCACCGTTTTTCGTGGGATGGAATGCGACTCATCGATATCAGTTTACTAACCCCTATTTTGTTTTCACCAAATGGGACTCACCAATGAACTCCGCTAATGCTAACTTTTCTTTTGGTTGACTTGATGAACTGATCATTACCTTAATGTCTTGAAATTTTCCCAGGTACCATATACCCAGGGTTCGCTTATGGAAATCAACCCTAGGCCATGCAGCAATCACCACCTATGACGGCAACTAGGCGCCGCGCACCCGCTAAGAAATTAATAGAGCTTTCATGGATAGAACTTTCATGGGCTCGCGCTAGCTCCTTAAATCGGTGGGGCTAACCGCTGAGCTACAGTGGCTTACAACAATAATTGAAACAAACAATACTTCGCACTACTTATAAAAACACTTTGCTTGAGCAACCGTTATGGTTTCCAACATCTAGTGATGAAAGGACCATAATTCATACGGCCAGTTTTATTAAAACGCTAATTTACCAATAATAAAAAAACTAAAAAAAATCCGGGTAAGATACGATAATTTTTTTGAAATTTCAATCGAACCTGTTTAGCGTGTTAAGCTGTCATGTGTCATGGGACGTCGACTTACCTTGGCGAAGAAGATGTTGAGTATATCTTGATCGCCATATTGAAAATAATCGCTGTATGTAGCCGTGATGTTGAGCACTTGGTCCTCCCAGCCTCCTGGGAACTGCCTCATGCGGGTTAAATTCATCAGAATCAAACCTGCGTTAAACCCCATTTCTGTCATCCGAACCTCCTGCAAAAATAAGAAGCAATTCAGTCGGTCAGCTTGATGTATATTCCCACGAGAAACACCTCTACACTCATTGCGGATACAAAGAAAATCATCAATTCCGCAAACATTTGTTTTTCAAGTTTTTACACTCACGAAGAAAAGATGGAATTCCAACCACTGATAAGTAAACCATTATTTCATTAGCTTCTCGTTATATGTTACAAGCGGCTATAACATTATATATATACTATATACTTATATATTTAGCCGTTATATTTGAAGAGAGCTTCGCAAATTTATACAAACTTGACTTAAATAAACATTTGTGAATGTGAAATTTCAGAGTCATTCATAAATGAGATTACTCGAAATCATATACAGTTTAAACCATCTATGCAAGTGAGCATAACAATAGGAGCCTAATTAATGTTCAAAATTGACTGACTTTCTAAAATATAGTACTGATGCCCGCAGCTAGCAATAGACAATATGCAATATGCTTTCTATCTTAAGCTCATTCACCTTCGGTATATAATTATAATCTCGCTTGTCAAGAGCCGCGGCAGCAAACTGGCGTTCGTCAAACTCGTTGAAAATTTGCCAGAGTTCTTCAGGCGGGCGCAGGAAGATGACATCGCTGTCCATGTAGAGGACGGAGGACTCCTCCGGCAGCAGGCGCAGCAGGAAGAGTTGCTGAGACGAGCAGGGACGGAAGAGGCCTCTCATGTCCTCGTGCTCCGGCGGGTACCACGAGGCCACGAACTGAAAGTTTTAAAATGGTTATCTTTAATAATAAATTATCTGGGAGCCTAAAATTACATAGATACGGTGCTAAGAATTTATTTTACAGCGATATGTGAGGCAGCGAGTATTCTCGATTGATTGAAGTGTCTACTAATTCTTGACCTAAAATTCAACTATGCGTGTTGTAGCGGGCCAGCCTTGGCCACGCTTAAAACGCTGTTAGTTTTATTCAGCCGCCGCACCTCTCTGACAAAGACTGATGAGAAAAAGTATGAGTAGATGGTGTTCTAGAGAAGTAGCTGATTAGGAGTTGTTTCAGGTTTTCACTTTCAGAGCTGTTAAACAGTTAGGTACTAATTAAACCCAGTTTAGGCAAGGGGCTTTGTGGTCTAGTTTCCAGTGCTCCTATAAGAATAAATAAGAAAGAAAAGAAAGAAGCTGATTACGAGTAGGCAGCCGACTTTTGCCCGAGCCACTACACTTTGTAGTGTCTGTAAATATCTGTGTCTAATTGTCTGTATAATGTCCGTACTTGTAAACTTGAATGAATTAAGTTTGTAGTCCTATGTCGTGGCTGCGAGTTCTCCGTGAAATATAAATATACCTTGTGTCCTGTGAAGATTCGCTGAGCCACTTTGATTAATCCTCGTACGCTAGGGCCCGTAGGCAGAGATCCAGTAACGTCGTGTATGGGGCGCAATTCTCCCGCTACAGTGTTTCTGATTTACATGATTTGAAGTAACGTGAAATCTACACTATGCACAACTGAAGGATATTCTGCACGATAACTTGTGTAGGCCGTACAATTATTCGTCCCTATTCATAAAAACTAGTGATTCTAGTTTTTCTCTAGAAACTATATAATATATAGTTTCTAGTATAGTTATATAATTAACTATATAATTTCCTCTAGATTACTATATAAATAAATCAACAAATAATATCTTTACAAATTGAATATGAAGAAGTATTGATTGATATGTGTTTAAAGACGAAATTAGACAGGTTAAATGTCAAACTGCCTCATGACTTGCAAAGATTACTTTTCACGCGTTAAAGATTGGTAGCAATAAAGATGTATAATTTCATTGATTCGGCTAGCTCATTAACCTTCTAGAATGAAATGCATAATAAATCAATGAATCTCATACCTGAAGATAACTCGGATTTCAATTATTAATCATCTTCAACCACTACAACTTTGAAAACTAACATCAATTCTATAGGTTCTTCTACTGAAAATTCGACTGTCAATCCAACCGCTCGTAGCATTCAAATTCTTACTTCTACATAACTTCTACATGAACTGCAACTTCTAAAACTCTTACTGTTATTGATAAACTTGCTACTATAGCATTAATTAGTGCCGAGATTATCTCGATTATAAATTCAAATCAATATATGCCTTATATGTACACGAGAAGTGTCACCTTAAAAGAGATTCTTTCTTTGTAGGCCGTTGGCCAGGCTTGAGTCAGAGCTACCAGTTCGTTGAAGACGTCCTGGGAGTCGCTCACGATTAAGAATCTGAAAATAATTCACAATTAAATTCAACTTTTGTCAATATAAAGCAAATTAGCTCAGTTAGAACTGGAATTAGAAACTTGTCGTTTTTATAGTGCACAAATATGTGTTTTCCAAAGCGTCATGACCTACAGAGTGAAAAGAATTATTTCGTTTCTTTGAATGAATCGGAATGATTCGCACGTACTCATAATCTGCCCACCACAACTCAATCCCCAACTCAATCCTCATTTAACTGTTAAAAGCACCATGTGATTTAACTGTTAAAAGCACCATGTGATTTAACTGTGAAAGGCACCAAATGCTTGAGCCAATCTTTGTCGGCCACAGCAAAAGCTGAATTATGGAGAAAACAGTATGACTGAATATTTCATAAATACCGTCTGAGACATTCGGAGATGTGGCCGAACGGAATTTAACCGTTAAAAATGAGACGCAGACACATTGTCCATTGAAATAGAAACAAAACACAATACCATGCCGAATAAGTCGTCTAGTTGGTTAACTTCAACCATTTATTGGGGAGTAGGATAATGAAATTTGGATGCGAGACTACTCCACAGCAGGTGTCTACAATAGAACTCAGGGAACAAATAAAGCAGCCGCTACACACGTACAACCTGTGACACCGATTGAAGTTCAGCATCTAAGCAGCTTGCTAGCTCTGTATGACACGGCATAAGCCAACCTTTATCGTACTCTCAGGAGACTATAAGGTCGGATATAAGATATCTATCAGAAAATTATTTCGATCGAATGGCAAAAAAACAGAATAACTATTATCCTAGTGTAGCGACTCCTTGGCTGTGAGTCCCCTATTTTTCAAAGGCCTGTAAACGAAACTGTCAACCTAAACCCCTAATAAAAGGCCAATGAACGAGACTGTCAACCTAAACCCCTATTCAAAGGTCTATGAACGAAACTGTCAACCTAAACCTCTATTCAAAGGCCTTTTACACGAGACTGTCAACCTAACCCCCTATTCAAAGGTCTATGAACGTGACTGTCAATCTAAACCTCTATTCAAAGGTCCATGAACGAAACTGTCAACCTAAACCCCCTATTCAAAGGCCTATGAACTAGACTCATCCTAAACCTTTATTCAAAGGCCTAGGAAAGAGACGGTCAACCTAAAATCCTAATCCTATTCAATGGTCTATGAACGAGACTGTCAACCTAAACCCTTATTCGAAGGCCTATGAACGAGACTGTCAACCTAAACCCCTATTCAAAGGTCTATGAACGAAACTGTCAACCTAAACCCCTATTCAAAGGTCTATGAACGTGACTGTCAACCTAAACCTCTATTCAAAGGCATATGAACGAGACTTTCAACGTAAACACCTATTCGAAGGTCTATGAACGAAACTGCCTTGGATTTGGGGATAGGTTTCCGGATGCTTGCTCTGACAGTTGCATTTGGGATTAACTTTCCAGATACTTGCTAACTGCCAACCTAAACCCCTATTCAAAGGCCTACGAACGAGACTGTCAACGTTAACACCTATTCGAAGGTCTATGAACGAGACTTTCAACGCAAACACCATGTAGAGATAACCATGCTCTACAACTCCCACCTGATGCGTTGAAGGGAGAGATATACTGCTGATTTGATGGCCACGCTTGCTTGCAGTAATTGTCTATCAATGGAATTCAACAATTTCTTTGATTTGCCTGCGAATAAAATATTATTTATGCATGAATGAGATTTAGATATTGGAATTAAAATATTTTTAATTGTATTGTAAATACACAATAAAAAGTTTGTCAAATCACCAGTTCAAAAATGCTATACTCACTGCGGCAAATAACCAGGATTATATTGATCTCCTCCTGAATTTGCTGTCTTCCGCGTGGTTCTGATAGAAAAATATCAATGTTCTATAGGTGTCAGTGAAAATTTTATCTTTGATCAGTAAATTATATTAAATTTCCCAAATTTGCTGAAAAATCTGCATTGTTTTGGACGACCAGAAAGCGCGCATGGTTCATTGTTGAAGCTTTGAGTATACAAGTTCATTTTTTATGGGAAAGGGCGAGCTTTGGCTGAACACGTAAAAACGTATCACAGTCTGGATGTGAGTTCAACGTTAGAATCAATAGTTGAACTCTAATAATTATCTCAACAGAGACTCAATTAATACCTGAAAATGTTTATTGTCAAAGAACAAACGATCACACAGGGCAATTTGATGCAAAAATTTTACATTTCTGTAGTTGGTTCATCCAAAAAGCGTGTGAGTAACTTTAAATTATTGAGAGCCAATAAAAATTAGATGAATCGAGATTGAGGCAATTTATTCATGTGTACCGATATCCATAAGTTGAGATGAAACACAGCAGACATAAAAACAATTTTGTCTCTTCTCATTGACTAAATTTCTTTAATATATTATTTCAAAATTACAATATCACGGGTTCTGCATGTTAAGACTTATGATAGCGATGAATTGCTATGAGCTTACCAAGGTTGTTCTCAAGAAAGGGTCGCTTTATGTTCGGCGTGAGCAGCACATACAAGGCCATCATAAGCAGGAGCAACAGCGTAGCCGCTCGGCCGCATTGCCGGCTCATTCGAATTGACCTCATCAACGTGTTCTCAACGTAAGGCAGCTACAAGTCTTAAATAATATCCCGACATCGGAAAGTATAGTGTATAATATATCTTCATAAATTATTTAATTCCAATTAATAATAATAATTTAAACGAATATTAATAAATGTGCCTCTAAAATTAATAAATTGAATATCATACACTTCATTTCGTACTCCATTAAACATTTTTCATTCACAATGCATCACTTCGGCAATAATTATTAGTAAGTGTGAGTTTCACAGAGTTTCACGTTGGTAACCCTGTATATACCGCAAAGTAACAGCCCCCCAATCCAACATACCAAAACTTATTTTAAGAAGCAATCATAATTGACGCGCTATCAGTATGTATAATAGAATTACATAAAACCCCTAAATTTATATCGTCAATTATATTATCTGAAAATCGATCCACAAAAAAAATCCCTCCTATGGTAGGTTAATTCCCCACAGAGAACTTTTCAGGTCGGTGCGTGATATTTGGACTGTCACTTCTTAAGCTAGAATGAAATTTATCCACTATGTCGACGTCTGAAAATTTTTTAAGGTAACTAATACTGAAAATTACGTCAAGCATTAATGTTAGGAAATTACCTGGAAGAGTGGTGCATGTTGGGAAATTAACTAGTAACGAAATGAATGCTGGGAAATCAAGTTGTACAGTAATGAAAACAATGAAATTGTCTACTACAGCGATGAACGTCGGGAAACTTTTGGGAGTTAATTAGGGAATTAAATCCGATGTTCATTGCCACACTAAGGTTTTCCATAAATTAGATGCATAAAAACAAGGCTATGCCTAATGTTTCCTTTTTTAACTTTTAATTTTTAACTTTAGTATGTATTAACTTTTCGGAATATATTGTCTCTTCCTCGCAACCACGGATTCTCTCAATTCTTGCCCTTCCGTTTTCAAAAATAATAGGTGATGAGACTGGTTGTAATGATCCTGATAATGGTGGTGGTGTAGGTGATGACGCTTGTATTCCCCATCCAAGCTTAGAGATAAAATAAAAATTTCATTTATAACAACATCGGGCATCTTCGTTGATGACACCAATCCCACCACATTTTTAGTAAGATAACAATCATCACTTGAGGTTGTCGGTCCTAAATAAAACTTCATGGACTTCAAAACGGAGAATACTGGTGCTTTAGTTGCGTTGATGGGCTATTTCAATACTATGATTGTTATAATATATCAAAATTACTATTTTTCCTGGATGAGCTAAACACCTACAGGGAATCTGAATGCTTCGCAATATTAGTACAAATACACTCGTTCCAACAGCTAAACCTCACTTTAGAATATGTAACTGCTCTATGAGCATGAAAACAGCAGCTACACGATCGTTGGCATCGATTGTTGTGCGAATGACAATGTACTGCTCACAATCTAATCAGTCACGGGAAAACTATTGATTATTGAGAGAAGAGAGTAAACTTCGTTTGTTGAGATAATATTGTCTGTTACATTGGCTCAACCTTGAGCTGTTTTTATAATATGGGAAAAATGTAGAGAAATGACCGAATTTCTTAAAATTTTAAATGATACAATGATTTGATTATTAAAATCGTTATGGCAAGTCACTTTGCTGCAGACTGTGTAAATACATCTAAACCTCACAAAAAATCAATTTTACATAGAAAACAAAGAGCTAATTCGTTTTTCTGAAATGGTTTCGAAAAGTTACATCTACTCCACCATTTGTGATATGGTTTGCGACACAAGAACCAGGTTAGAATTTTATTTTATGATGTGGTACTCAACATCATTATTTTATTTTTCAATCATTAAAGATTGAAATGATGTCATTGTATTTAAGCAAATACTATATTGTATAATATTTGCTAAATATTAATTTAGCAAATACGAAGATGGTCAACTTTCAAGTTAATTTTGTAAAAAAGAACTAAGATTTGTAGTTTTTCTTATCTGAGGCACTGGAAATTTACACGCATTAAACATTTCTCCAGACATGTCTAGACAAAATCGGGGAGCAGCTATCCTGGCACCCTATTTCAAAATCCAAGTTGATACTAAATCAAATATATCTTTCCCAACCATTAAAAGAACAACGTCATAATACTTAATTGCATTCAGCATATATTAACAGCCACCAAGATGCTTGATTGATTTTAATGTCACTAACTTAAATAAATATCCACGAGAAAACTTGAGAAGCAAAGGAGTATTACTAATATAGATTCTTCATGTTGCTTGCTATTTACTGTTTCCCGGCTTCTGCAAGCCACTCTTTCAATGTAATTTATTTTCTGTTTCATGTCTGGTTTTAATTATGTAATTCATTTAGACCCTTAATAAAAACATTGATATTAAGTAACCCTAATGTAAGGATTTTTAGCTTTAAGAGTTTCGTAAGAAATGTTCTAGCAACGTCGACCCA